TCCTGGCATAGAGTTTAAAATGGTTCGTGATAGACCTCTTACTGTTGCTTCTCGTGGGAAATTTTGGGGTAGAGGCGGTAGAAGAAGATAATCCGGTTTCAATTTTGATTGTTCCTTTCGGTTGATCGGATTGCTATTCGTTTGGATTGGAGGTTGTGGGGCTATGATGTGGCTGGGGCTTGTGTCCTCGCCGTCTATCTTGTCTCACCCATTTGGATGGTCCTTGCGCGGCTTCGAGGATGCTGGGAGTCTCGGCCTTCTACTGAGCCCTCTTTTGAAATTTTTTAATCTGTTTTATTGTGATTGTATCCTTTAGATGATTTTCTTTTCTTTCTGTTTTCTTTCCTACAGCTGTTGTAACCCCTTTTTATTAGCTAATATATTTGCTTTTTTGTTTAAAAAAAAATAAAGACCTATGATTTTCCCTTTTTCAAACTTTTCACGTGTAATATCTATTACAACTCTTCTGTTATTTGTATTTATGTTGGATCTTGACATATTACTAAGACATCAAAACTTCTCACTCAATCCTGGAGAACATTCCTGCACACAATAGCTATGATTCTTATCATATCCTAGTAGTGCACATATAAGTGCAACTCTCACAACCTTGGGAAATCAGATTGTGAAGATTGAAAGCAACAAAACTTTATAATTATATGTGAAAATAAAAAAAAAAGCAGAAAAGTAACTCAGCCTAGCTCGAAGGCTAAATGAAATAAGTTTGGACACAATTCAACTTATAATTAATCAAGTTATTTATTGAATTAAGAAAAACTAGTTGAACAATATAGTACTCACATCAAGCTCAATATCAAGTTGTTATTAAGTTACTTACTGAACAATAAATAAATTATTCAAGAGGATAAATAAATAAATTAGATATTGGTTAAATTTATTTAATTTAATCTTCAAATTTAAAAAATATTTAAATTTATTTTATTATTAATATCAACATTTGAAAATCGATTCAAACCAACTAGTCCAACTTGTTGAACCCCAAACTAGTTTGGTTTATTTATAAAATTAGTTTCACATTGAACCAAGAAAAATCGGCTCGAACCGATGGTTCAACTTAGAAAGTGTTGAACCTGTCCCTATTTTTAAAAACCTGTTGGTTCAATTATTATCTCAATAACATAATTAAATAAATCAGTTTAATACAATAATTTAATTTTAGTATATTTAAATTTTAAAATCACTTATAGATTTTGGTAACAATTAATTATTAAACAAACTTTACCCAAGCTTATTTAGATAATCCGACTTTCCATGTAACTTGTTTACTCTTTCAAACAAAAAGAACTATATAAGTATGGGTGTCAATTTCGTGTCACGGGTCGGGTTCGGGTCGAACCCGGAACTGACTCGGGTTCAAGCGGGCTCAAGCGGGTGCGCGTGAGCGGGCTCAAATGGGTGCGTGCGGGCGCGCTCGGGCGAGAGCGGGTGCATGCGCGGTGCGGGCAGGTGCTCGGG